AACAACACACTTCTTCCTTCCCGACTCCCCCGCCCCCTCCTCCTCCTCCTCCTTCTTCTTCTTCTTCTTCTTCTTCTTCTTCTTCTTCTTCTTCTTCTTCTTCTTCTTCTTCTTCTTCTTCTTCTCCTCCTCCTCTTAAATAAATAATAATAAAACTTTTTTATTGAATCCGTCGGAAATAACACCAGAGAGAGACGCTGGCAAGAGTGGCGCGCGAAGCTCCTTGGCCCCAGCTCCGCTAGGGACAGGATGCCAGGATCGTGCCTTCCCTTGGACACCGGATTGTGTAAGAAAGAGGCAGGGACGTCAAGAGGGTTTTGTGTTGTTTCTCTCTCTCTTTCTCCCCCCCCCCGTCTTTCCCTTCCCCTTTTCAGCCCGCGCCCTAGTGGGCGGGGGTCCCCTTGCCTCTCCCAAGGTGGCAGGAACCGGACTCACCCCGGAGGAAGTTACACAGCCTTGATAAACTTCCCTGAACTCGGGAGGGGAAACTCGTCGTCTTGTCGTCTTTTTCAATTCCTACCTCCCACTCACCCACCCACCCCCGCCTGCTTTCTGCCTGTTCTTCCCAGAAAATGGATCTGATATATTTTCTCCCGTGGCTACAACTAGTCCAAAAGATAAGAAGGGGGAAAAAAAGCGCTGCACGTTTAATCTTTCACAGAGAGAGTAGTAGTAGAAACAGCCGCACCAAGCAGCGACGCTGGAGAATCCAAACAACGTGTGAGCCCTTATTCCTGTTTCTATACAGTCGGCAGCAAAGTTGCAGTCCTGAAAATATTTCCTGGATATTCCTCTAAAATCAATGTGTATGTGTGTGTTGTGTGCTGTCCGGTCGAACCGTCTTGTAGCGAACCTAACAGGGTGTTCAAGCTGAGTGAGATCTTGAAGGAGTGGTCTCACCGGTTCCACTCCCCTAGTGAGTTTCCATGGCTGAGCCGGGATTCGAACCTAAGGCCCCTGACTCCCAGTCCGCCCGTCTATCCGATACATCACACTGGGAATCCTTCTAAACTCAATAGGAAGACTTATTTTGGTGGAAATAGGAGTAAGATCCCAAAATTCACTTAATCCAGTCGAGTTTACTTCCGAACATCCTTAGGAGAGGGTTTGGGGAGAGTTTCACTTCGACATAATCCCCGGGGAAAACGGTGCTACTTTTGCTTCAGTTACAGCTTTCGCTAACGATGGGATTCTTTTCTTGATGCTGCACTCTTCCATCCACCATGTATTTCAATTACCCCCAGAAACACTGACACTGTCCAACCATCTCGTCCTCGGTCGTCCCCTTCTCCTCTTGCCTTCACACTTTCTCAACATCAAGGTCTTTTCCAAGGAGTCTTCTCTTCTCATGAGATGGCCAAAATATTGGAGCCTCAGCTTCAGGATCTGTCCCTCCAGTGAACACTCAGGGTTGATTTCATTCAAACTGGATAGGTTTGATCTCCTTGCAGT